AAAAGCAAAGATGGATATCTATATCAGTTAAAACATAAAATGCTATAATCATTCAACAACAAGGTACCTGAAAACTGCAACTGAATTTGTTTGTCGGGCATCAACAACTCAAGGAGAGGAGACCAGCCTCGATTTTTCAGGATATTGGATTCAGAGCAGGATAGGTACTCGCCTAGAATATTTTTTGTTTTTAATAAAATAAATTAGCAAAATTAAGCGTAACAAAGAAGTCAATGAAACAAAAAGTAGATTATAATAAAAATCCAAAAACATAATTTTGGAAAAAACATACCGTTAAAAATGAAGGCTTGTTGATATCATACATGATCAGCAAATTCATAAACACCATCAGTGTTACTGAAACCTGAAATAGAGTTGCTTCCTTGTTCAAAATACTGATCTAACATTTAAACTGAAATCATTAATCTATTCTATTAATCACTTAACATAGCTAGAAAATAAGAATAAGTAGAAATTCAAATAGGTAGAGGCTCAGACTGCAAGTTCATCTGCTTGATTACATTTGAGCCTTGGGAAAGCTCTATATTTTCCAGTCAGGTAAGACAGATCCACTGAAGAAATAGAGACTCCATTTTCAGATTCAAATGGATTAAAAAATAGAATGAATAGTGAATAGAAGATTTATTTATTTTTTTAATTGGAGTCTTCTTCATTTCTTAAAACCACAAAAACTGAAATTGTAGCAAACATGAAACCAACAGACCCCTGTTATATATAAAACATGAGATTTTATTATAAGTACGCAAGCATGTGCCTAGAGTACCAAATTATTTGTTTTAAATTAAACAAGAAAAGCCACATTGTCACTCAAGAGACTGTGATCAACAGTGAATATTTTTATCTACATCAGTGGGATTCATCAATTCTGTTCAGTAAGTTGTTTTTGCTGAGTTTAAGAAGATTTAGATAAGTGCAGAAACAAAATGCAATCTTTTTGTTATGTTATGTCAAATAGCATTGGTTCTGATATATCATATTTCCCAAATAATTTAGACTAAACGTTCTCAATGGCTTAAAGAGTTGAATATTATCACCTTGTTCTCATCAATGAGACCAATATTCAATCCAAACTAAATTGAAAATGAAATCTGTTCATTATTGTTGAAGTTGTATAAAGATTTTGAAGTATTAATTAGAAGGATTTTGCTAGATATCTTTAACGGACAGACTTACAAGCATAAACCGGTGCAGAAATTCCTACTAGTGATCTTGACAAGATGAAGTGTGTAAAAAAAAAAAAACATATTTGACACAAAAAAATACTTCCATAAGCCTGCTAGGAAAATAATTGGCCAAAGCACCTATTTGCACCATCCATTTATTTCTTTTCCATGGTCAACACCTTCCAAAATTTTTCCTCTTTATTCACACCCTCAACTTTTCAAAACTCGTAAAAAACTCAATATTTTAATGTGCCATTACAAAACTGTTAATAACCGTTAAAAATTGTAATACGTTGCATCAAACAGTAATATAATCATTATGTCATCTTATTAATTCAATGTAAACTTTTTTTTTTATGACGTGGCATAATTAAATCATAATTTATTTTAATTTTTTCATTTTCTTCTTTCTCGACATCATTTTTATCATCTTCCAAGGAACCCAGGACGTTATGTCACATTTATTAATCCAATGTGGACTTTTTTTTTTTTTTTTATAATGCGTTATAATTAAATCATAATTAATTTTAATTTCTTCATTTTCTTCTTTCCTGGCATCATCTTCACCATCCTCGTCCTCGTGAGTTCCTCACGGAACCTGGGTTCTGAGTTCCTCGTGGAACCAATTTCACATGAACGCCTACCAAGCTAAGATTTTCATCCACACAATTATAAGTAAATGAATACTGCACAAAAACAAATATGCATCTTCTACCCCTTTCCCACAAAAAACGAAAAAACCGTTATTGCCATTCATGTTAATCCTACTTGAACTCAAATTGGCAATTGGCAACCTGTTCAAAAACAATCTCCAAGCAAAAAAACTTACCTCGCAGGATGGTGAAGATGGAGGATGGTGAAGATGATGCCGAGGATGAGGGGGAAAGAAAAAGATAAAGAAATGCCGCATCATAAAGAAAGAAAAAAAAAAAGTCCAAGTGACATATTTATATTGCTATTTGGTACCACAAGTAATATAATTTTCTATTGGTTTCACTGTATACGTGGCAACCACGTGTGTAAAAAATAAGCCACATCATCAACAAAAGGGATCTATATTGGATTACTACTGCCACATAATGTCACGTCAATTTTTGGGTGCCACGTTATGCATTTTTTAATAGTTCTGTAACGACACGTTAAAATATTGGGTTTTTTACGGGTTTTGAAAAGTTAAAGGTGTGAATAAGGAGGAAAAATTTTGGAAAGTGTTGAACACGGAAAAGAAATAAATGGAGGGTGCAAATAGGGGTTTTGGCCAAAATAATTTAAAAAATAAACAGAACTCAACTTACCTATGTTTTAGAAATGCCAATCCCAGTCCCCAATTTTGATCACCTTCACATTCTTCATCTCTACAACACTATCTCTAAGCCAATCAAAAACAACATTGGTCAAGTGCAGATCCAGAAGCTCTAACCTGAAAAGATGAAAACCGAGAAGTGAAAATCAAAGAACAAATCTGGTGACTAATAAAGAAGACAGACCTAGAGAAACTTTTAGTTGAGCTCTGAGAGTGCAACATGTCATACAAACCCTAGAAGAATTTAAAGCATGGAAAAGAGAGAAGGGAAAACTGAAAAAATGGCATACTGAGATATTATTTAGTGATATGAAACAGTCATATAAAGAGCTTTAATATAGAGGCTACTCCCATAATTACATAAATCATATCCTATAATATCTCTATCATCCCCCTCAAACTCAAGATGGTTTTATCAACTAGAGTTTGATATAGCAAATCCTCATGGTGCATCCATAACTAATCACAAAAACTGTCTTGATCTTGAAGTCAATATGTGAGTGAGAAAAGAGAAGAAATTTTGAAGTTAGAAACACCTTGAAGCCTTTGTTCATTGAAGGTGAAACATGAGAGTCTGCCCAGAGCTACAAAGAAATAGCAGAAAACAAAAGAAAAGAGAAAACTAAATTAGCAGATGATGATATAGAAGAAAACCATAAAAGACTGAATTGGAGAATGAAAGTTTAGGAAAATAAGAGGGCAGAGAAAGTGTGAAGAATTTGAGAGAGAAGAAGCCAACATGTGTGATGGAGGATGAAAATGCACATAGTAATCTAAAATAGAAGGATTATTAGAAAATGTGAAGAAGTATAAAAAAAACTAAATTGGTAGGAAATCAATATAAAAGAAAAGTGACTCATTAATAACATGTAGTGAACTGGAATTTGACGAACCAAGTGAAATTATTTTGGCCAAAATCAATTAAGGAGCTCAGACAATCAAAGCAAGGAAGTTCCTTTTTTTTTTTTTTTTTCTAATTTGAAACTAGTAGACACTAATAATAAAAAATTGCTAAAATAGAAAATAAAACCAGAAAAGGTGGCGAAATTGCAAGAAAAACCAAAATAGACCATGAATTGCGAAACCTAGGAAAATAGAAAATATGCCTTTTTTTATTGAAAGGGAAAATGTGCTCTCTCTCTTTTTTTTTTATTATAATATTGAAAACGAAGTTTGCTAACAAAGAAAAAGAATTTTGCACAAACAAATTCAGTACCATCTGTTGTGAAACTTATGGCTTTGATGCCATATAGAAGAAACTAAATCATGGAAAAGAGAGAAGGGAAAACTGAACAAAAAAAAAAAGGCATACTAAGATATTATTTAGTGATATGAAAATATTACATAAAGAACCTTTATATAAAGCTTTATATAGAGGTTAGGTAACTTACTAACTAAGTAGCCCCAAATCTATCATAATAACAATAATATCAAATATATGATTTACTTCTATAATTACATAAATCATATCCTATAATATCTCCGTCACAGGCTTCTGGGCATGGTGAAAAATACTCAAAATTTTCTATAACATAGAGAGAAATAAACAAGTAAAAGATTTTATGAATAAACAAACAAGTAATGAATCTTATCTGAACCATTTCTAAAAAGGGATTATTTGTAGCACAAAAAACTTGTGGATTATTAGAAACTGAACGAAAGAAGACATGTTGACATTACACATGAAGATTGCACATTTGATTTGTGTTTTCAGAAAACTGTCATACATCGGGGAGTCACAAGCAACTTTTTTGGTCAGTGCTGGAAGGTAGGTCTAGTACAACGTTTTCATCAAATTGGCCTTGATCCTGCAAGTTTATGTTATGAATCCATTACGTCATGCCAGCAGTAAGGCCAGGCCAAGTGCATGCCCCTTAAGACATACTTTAGGCAGAAAATGCTAATTATCTCCTCGCCTTGCAAGTTTGCGATATATAAACCCTTTACTAAATTTCATGGAAAGTCAAATTCGAACTTACATTGTTGTGATAATTGCTCTATATTTAAAGGATGACATCATATAACAACATCTTTCTGTTTTGATTTAACCATGCCTGTTTGAGTGGATCCCATTTGCTAACGTGTGGGTATTTAACAATTAATAAATTAATATTTGATTAGACTCAATTGAAACCCCTAAACCCTCAAATTTTGGAAATTTTGGATTGTAGGGACATTATCAAAGAAATCAGAATCTAAAGGGCGAATATGCGGATCTATGGAAAAGAGAGGGCAATGGAATAAAATTAAGAAGAAAATAAAAGTGTAAAGAAAATTTGTGTAAACGGTGTCGTATTCGATAAGGGGTTTATATCAGGAAAGTTGTCTTCCACCTCGCGATTCTACCAAAATCCCTAAAGTTTCTTCCTAAGTCCACCCAAGCTTGTTCGCAATTATGGAGAAGGATTCGAAGATCTTCTTTGGCTATGCTTACAAGAGAAGATTGGAAGGGGCTCCTTCACCCTTCCTAAATCGAGTTGCTTGGGGAAGAGGTAGAATCTTCAAATTTGAATTTGTAATCTTTCCTTTTAGGCAAATTAGGCTGTGTTCTTCGTTGAATTCAATTCGGTTAGATTTGAAAAGAACAGTTATATTATTATATGAGATAGCGGAAAATTAGAAAGTTTCGAACAATTAAAAAGACTTAAATATTTTAAATAAATCATGACATTTAAAAATGTTAAGAACAGAATATCTTAAAAATTAGGTTATAGTTTTTTAATATCCGCTACTTTTATGAAGACAAAAAGAAAAAAAAAAAAAAAACTCCCCACAACTTGTGCAAAGAGAGCATGGAGCAACGTGTTGCGCAATTCTTAACTCACAATTCAGCACAGTGCTAATTTTTTTTTAATGAAAATAAAAGATCTAAGTTGATTCATTTTTAAGACTTCTAAAGCAATTGAGGAAGCATCTCTCTACATTATAAAATGTAATCAATTTAATAATTTTTTTTAAAGTATTAAATCTTTTATTAAAAAGAGAGACAAACAAAAATACAGTACATTAAGTAATTATAATGATAAAAATACACATCAACTAATAACTTTTCCACCTTGGATATATAATTTGGCCACATACAAGCTATGCAGCTGCTGTCCTACTAATTCTAGAAATTGTAGGCTTGCTTATTATTAAACAACAGATAGCAGTAGCAACACATAAACAATACTAGTTTTATGATTTATGGCCAAATTCATTTTGTCATTACATATTTTCTAAGGCCGGGAATGTGAATGTTGAAGAAGTAGTCCTCCCAGTTAATGCACTTAGGGTTGAAGTCAAATCCACCATCATCCTCCGTTGCTTCCATTCGCAAACTCTCTGAGTTTGTGTCATCGAAGCTGTACATTGCATAACAAATTCACATGTTTGTATACGTATATATAATGACAAGTGTATTAGCTAGCTAGCTAGTATGCCAGAATGTGAATTACGGATATTAATAAGCCAACACTTACATGCCCTTGAACAATAGGTAGGGTTCATAGAGTTCTACCAATCGCATCCCCAATTTGATACTTCGGTGCAGATTCTCATAGGCAGCATGAGAATGCTGGCCAAAAACTGCATTTACGAGACCCAATCCCTTCAAATCAAGAGGATAGAAGAGACAGATAATTAGCTTGGATGATAACAAATTAAGTCAATAGACCATAAACTAAAAGGGGAGATCGATAATACTGCTGTTTAACAATTTTGCAATAAACCTTTAATGGAAGCACATATCTAAGCGTCATGTAAGTTCGGAATCTAGCCATGCTGCCCAAGAATTTCACTTTGGTGATCCGAACAGGCTTTCCCTTTCTGTTGATCCATGGATTTTGAGTGAAATAGCGAACGCCAATATCATGAATATTTGAGATTTTAAGAGGGTTTCTAAGCGAGGAGCCAACATGGTAAATCTTTACATTATCTGAACATTGATGTGCATGAGCGCACATGGCCATGAGCATTGAATTTACCACCATGTCTGCTGGTATCTGCATATAGTTTGCAACACGAATACTCAATAAGTTCATTTTTGTACACATCAAAGTAGTTAATTAAAGAAGCATCACTATGCATGATTAATTGATTAACTTACGACATCCAAGATTGTCTCAGGTTTACCAAGAAAACAATTGACTCTGCCCTTCGCGACTGTCGCAATAAAGGCGTCAATAGTTCTGATACAAGGAAAAAAATGAAGGAAAAAAATGAATTACATATATTGATTGTGTTTAAAAACCAAAAATAATTAGTTTCTATATGAGTCTACTAACCTTAAACCTTCAATGTAACCAGGGAATGGTTCTTTAAAAGTACTAGTTATCATAGTAGGACGTATAATAACAAGGGGTAAGTTATCTCTGAAGCTCCCTAAAAGCATTTCTCCCATTGCTTTTGTAAATACGTATGTGTTTGGCCATCCATACCACTTCGCCCTAGAAATAGAAAGTGGAAATAATTAAATAACTGTATAGTTAAGAGAAATGATCATCCTTGAGAATAAATTAGCTAGATAACTAATCCATCAACTTAATTGACAATTTGAAAAGAGAATGTTGTTTTGGGTATACTACACTTCACTTTTTTTATTTGAAAATGCAAGCTAGTATTGTTTGGGGTTTATAATTAGATAAAGAGTTTGATGTTTTTAGTTCATTAAAAGCACAGTTTGGACACTAAAATGACTGAAATTATTGTTAATAAATAAATATACAGAAGAACATCATTAGGGGTATTTTAAGAATTTTAGTATCTAAATGCATTTTTAATATACAAGTGATGTTATTATCACATTCTCAATTATTAATGTTACATTTTTTTATATTAATTAATTATTATACCCTTTAATTTATTAAGAAACAAAAAATGTAAAATTTTGAGAAAAAGTGTAATGCAAGGGTATAACAGGCAATTAGTTAAAGGGATGTGATATTAACTATTTATGGTGTGACAATAATCCCACCTTTAATATGCAGGCTGAGTTGAAAAATTCTTTTTTATTAGATAAATGTATATTGAGTTCCTTATTTTGTAGTTGACTACAATCTAAATTTTATAGCTTTTTTTCTATGTATATATATGTGCCTATCTCTTATTTTTCATAAATCAACACAAAATCCGCCCCTATATTAATAAAGTTCAGGCTATCTACGGAAGAAAAGATGGGTTTGTAAGGATTTAAATATCTTATATGATATTGTATTAATTTATTAAAATTTCACAAGTGACCCTATTGTCTTGTTTTGCTTGACTTATAACCTGGATGCATGAATGAATTCTTAAAAGTAGAAGGTTACCTTTTCAATCCAAGATCCTTCATGGCAAATGCAACTTCTTGTGCTGGGAGTTGATTCAATTTCTCATCTACCAATTTCTTTTCCATGCCAATATCTAATTTACATGTTCCTTTGAGGCTCTCACCCATGCAGAATGGTTTTTCCATGATGAGTCCAGTTCCTTTACCACACACATAAGCTAGAAAAGGCACAGATTATATAATCTAAAGATGATTAATATTTTTTATAAGAATCCTATGAAAGTCAAGATGTAATTATAATTAAGTACCAGTTGAAACATGGAGAAGCATTATTATTCCAGGACAATTTTTTGCAAAGTTCAAGACATTAAGAGCTCCCATTGTATTGACGGCCAATGCAACATCATATCTGCAAAACAAAATTAAAAGCTTTACTAAACTTGAACAATGGCAGAACAATTGGTTTTCTGAGACAATTAAAAGCAATTAATTAAATCTATAAAATACCTTTCATCAAAGTCGGTTGTTGCAGCACAATTGACCACAATGTCTGTATTTTTCCAAATTTCTTTCCTTAAAGTGATATCTTGCACCCCCAAGTTCTCACAAGAAACATCCCCATGAATTGGAATCACCTTTTCGTAGAAAAATGAATCTAGATTTGATCCCAAATTTCCTCTCAGAACACTAAACAAATCCTTCTCTAGAACCTGTGATTAATGTGATTAATTGGCTATTCAATTAATTAACAAAGGAAACGATCAAAGTAAATATATCTGTTCTTTTTACAAAGAATGAAAGAAGTTTGCTGGTTATTATTGTTGAGCTTTCAACACTTGATTTGACCTTAAATTAAAGTTTTTAAATTAGCGAGTACTAACTTAATTTAAGTTTTATTGATAGATAAATATATTTGTTGTTTATAGAAAAAGTATTTTGCAAGTTCTCATCTCAAATTTTTTTTTCAAAGATATATATAAAAACTCATCATTTAAATATTGAAAAAGTGTTTTGCAAGTGATCAATCTAAAAATTTTTTTAATTAATATTTTTAAAAACTAATTGTTCTATTAAAAGTTTTATTTATATAAATCACATATTTCAATTTTCATATTGATCCCATATGCTTAACTAGTTCGTTATATTACACAAAATTTAGTGCCACTAAATACAAGTCTATAAATATAGTTTTCTTAATCAAATGATTATAAATATATTAGATTAATATAAAAATTAACATGTATATTCTATACAAATGGAACTTCCAATTCAACAATTCGTTTTTCAAAATATTAATTAGAAAATAACTTTTTAGATAGTTCTTCTAAAGAAAAAGGTTTTACAGGTCGTTCTCTAAAAATAAAATGAAAAACATATTTAAAAACTCATTTTCTTACTAATATTTAAAAAAAACTAACAATTAAATTGAAAGTTTTATTCATATAAATTTGTATTTATATAGATTATGTATGTCATTTTTTAAGTTATTCTAGCTGGTCTAACCATTTTGTTAATTATACAAAATTTAACACCAATAAGTACATATTCAATAAATAGAGTTTTCTTTTATTAAAGAGCTGTAAGTATTAGATCAAAATATAATTTACAAAATAAAATTTTCAATCCAACAGTTAGTTTTTGAAAATATTAATTAAAAGATATGTATATACATACAAGAAAAAGTATTTTACAGGTCGAA